TTTCGGAGCTGCAAGCCGAAATTTTACGACAATGGGACGCGATCGAGCATTCGTACTTGCTGAAGCTTATAGATTCGATGAAATTCAGGTGTATTAATGTCCTCAGTGGAAAAGGGAATTGTACTAAGTACTAATGTGAAGTTTCATTGCTTCAGCTTTAAATTTGAGTGTATTGTGCAGGTTTGAAAGCCGTGGACCAATGTTTTTGTCCAGCCAAAAAACTCGTTTTGCATATAATTTGTTGTCTTTCTCAGCATGTACGCCACTTCTATGCAATCCAAACTTACCGACGTGCTCGCAATGCATCTAGGATCAATGTAGCACAGCACGGTACATGTGGCGACAATGTCTTGGGACGTACCTCTCAAATTCAAGTGTACCAAACCTTTATGTCCAGCACTGTATAGAATGGGTAAAAATCTCCAATTGACGCCTACTGAACGACGCGCGATAATTGCATTTCGCTAGGCCTGATACTTCAACCCTACGGTCGCACACGAGCTAGGATGCACCAAATATGGCATGCGATGCTTCCTGCGCGACCCTTAGGCTTACTGCACCATGTACATAAAGGTAATTTGTGTAAAATCGTATGAACACTTTTGACATGGATAATTTAGGGTCGATGTTTGAGTCAAATTTCACGACGAATGTTGCGACAATCATTCCAGACAATTATTCAAATTTCCTTTACACCATTTGACATTCTCGAGTAAAAATTACTCCACACGTATGTAAAATTCTGCTGTCGAGACACTGAAAAAGAAATGTCCACTGTATGAAAACTTTTGACACCTTTTGACACCCACTGTTCATAGAGCTCAAAGCCCTGGTCGGCGCTACCAGCCGCTTCACCCTTCGCGAGGCTTCCAAGCAAGGGTCGTCTGCAGGAGTGCTCAAGAACACCCTCTACGTGGTCACCTCGATAACGATATTTCATTGATGTTTCAGCAAAGCGATCTAACGCAATACGAGAAACGCATCCAAATGACTGGTCTGTCAGTCAGGTACAAAACCCACGCGTCACTCTGGAAAAAGCTAAGAGCAACAATGCTCAACCACACCTCGAATAGGGACAATGCATCTCCGTGCGGAGTGGATGCGACAAAATTGGTTCCTCGGTGTATCCACCGTACGTATTTTCATACCCTCGCATCGGCTCAACAGTTGGGTCATGCTGAGCTTCGTTTTGCCGAAGATTTGTGCGTGTCCGCGGACGACTGCGCTGTATTCTCCGTAGATGCGGTAAACCAGCGCTGACAGGTGTGCAGGTGGATCAGCGACTCAAACGTTGTTAGTCCTCTGTCGCCAAGGTATGGAATACGATGTTTGCTGAGAAGTGTTTCTTTTGTAGCTGGGTCCAGACTTTGTCTCCCTGGCCCTTTGAAATATGCCCCGTGAGATCGTTGAGGGTGTCCGCTGCTGCATCGCTAAAGGTGCGACCTACATCCTCGACCTCTTCGTGGTGCAGCTGTTGAATGGACGTCTCAAGAATTTCGTGTAGGCGCTCAATTGACATTGTCTCAACGTCAAAGGATAGTACATTTCCAACTTGATGGTACGTCGTGATGCACTCCTTACGGCCCTCCTCTGACAAAAATTGACGTTGAAAGGTGGGGATAATTGTGATGAAATCCTGCTTTTCGCTCCACTGCAGAACCCGAAAACCTCCGTAGTTGCGTCGGAGGACGTCAAAAAAGTTCGGTGTCGCGAAGTCCTCCAGGGTTGTCGGCGCCGTGCGTGTCCGCTCCTTGCGTTTGCCACGACGCTGGACCACCTGGTACGGTTGGTCCACCTCCATGAATAAATGTGTGCCCTTGGAGTCGTCGATATCCATCTCGCCGATCTCACCGTCGTCCTCGTAGACATCAATGTGCTCATGAGGCTCAGGCGTGGACATATTCGTCGCCTCCGTGCCCGCGATGGGGCGCTGGAGCGACGAAGCAAAGGCACAAGAAGTGTGCGCAACGTCCGGGTGTGTCCTCTCCGCTGCCGCACGACTCGAGTTCGATTGACTTACGGTCGTGTCGTTTTTAGGCTTTTTCGACGCACTTGATACTAGGTCAACTCGACAAGGGGATGCTGATTGAGTCGCCGTATGGATGTCGGGGTGCTGTTCCATCGAGGTGTCTCGGTTACGTTTAACTTCGAGATCTGAAAACAAAATGCCGCCACGCCCAAGCCGTGTGACTTGGACGAATTCAGGCAGGAACGCCTTGACGGCGTCGGTTTGCGTGCGTGTAAACAGCGACGACGTGACCGCTTCGTACGACTGCGCAGCTAATGCATCACCCGTGTCTACGGTGAAGCGAGCCATAGCCACTTTAGGCGAGTATGGCCGAGCAAGGCTAATTTGGTCGAGCACATCGACGCGATCCT